CAGAAGCCACTGTGATAACCTCAGTGGGCTCTGCTTCTGCCAGGACCATACTGAGGGGGCCCATTGTCAGATCTGCTCTCCAGGGTACTATGGAGACCCCCGGTAAGTCGAGAGCCTGCAGGGCTGGGCAGAGAGGGCCAGACAGGGCTGGTCTGACACCAGCTCCCCTCTATTCTGCAGAGCTGGTGGCTCCTGCTTCCGGGAATGTGGGGGTCGTGCCCTCCTCACCAACGTGTCCTCAGTGGCTCTGGGCTCCCGCCGCTTTGGGGGACAGCTGCCTCCAGGTGGTGGGGCAGCAAGAGCTGGACCCGGCCTGTCCTATTGTGTGTGGGTTGTCTCGGCCACGGAAGAGCTACAGCCCTGTGCTCCTGGGGTCCTCTGTCCGCCACTCACCCTCACCTTCTCTCCAGACAGCAGCACCCCCTGCACAGTGAGCACTGAGGGGACCAGGGTTCCGTTTATCAGCCAGAACCATGTCCCCTTCTCAATCTGGATCCCCGAATGATGTCGCTGGTCTGTCTGTTTGATGCTACATGTCTAAAACTGTTCATTGGGTCAACCAGGCCTTTGTTCTAGGCTTTAAGATCCTCCCATTTGCCAGTTCCCTTTCTATTTCCTGAGCTCCTGCCTCTCATTCTTCAGGTCCTCCAACACTTCCTCCCAGACCAGCCATGGTCAGTTCTTACAATTCGTGTGCCTACGCTGATTCACTAGTAATGGTTTCCACTACTGTATATTGAGGAAGAGGTTTGGTGCCAGAGTACTGTCTGTGCTAATCAACACATGGGGTTGGAGGGGCAGCCTCCATTACAGACGTAAGGCTCTACCCCTAGACCTGGGTTGCTCTTCCGTGTTCTCTCTCTGGTATAGGCTCTTACCATGGAGCCTAGACTCATAGGGAACTCTCTGTCCTGCCCGGCCTCTCCCTCCCTCATAGCTGAGATTGGAAGCACATTCCCCTGCCCTCTCCCATAGCTCTTGATTCTGTTCCTTTTCAGCTGAGCTACGTCCTGGCCTTTGATGGATTCCCACGCTTCCTGGACACTGGTGTGGTGCAGTCAGACCGGAGCCTCATAGCTGCCTTCTGTGGCAGGCGGCGGGACAGACCCCTCACTGTGCAGGCTTTATCTGGTATGGGGGTGTGAGGGAGTGGAATTGGTTTGTCTTGGCCTTCTTCCTTACCCTTCAGTGTTGGGGATGGAATCCAGTCCAGGGCCCCCTACATGCTAGGCATACTCTCTCCCACTGAGCCCCCCTTCGAGCCCTCACGGGTGGATTCCAGCCAAGTGTTCTCTCTCCAGCTCCATCTCAGCCCTCGTTCTGAGCTTTTAAAAGCCTTTCTTCTTAAACTGGGCTCTATATCCTGTACTCTGTACCTGTCGCTGATTGGGCACAGGACCCAGGTCCCAGCGCAGGGACTGACGTGGGTTACAGGTGACACACTCCTTTGCCTGGGTGGTATGGCTTCTCTCCTGGACTGTGGTTGAGAGAAGTAGCATTTTGTTGGCTGGGCTGGTTCTGGAGAAAGGGACGAATAGTTCTGTCTGTGAGGCACTTCCACTGCCAGTGGGGTGAGAACCCCCAGCCATCAACTTACACTTGCACTTCTCAACCAGGGAGTTTCGTCCCTTGGACATTTTGAGTGACAAATGAGGGGCACTTCTGTCATCTGTCAGGGTCCCATAGCCTCAAACTGACCATATAGCTGAGGATCCTCCTGCCTGCACCTCCCCAGCGTTGGGATGCTAGGTGTTTTCTGTAGCGCTGAGGACTGAACTTAGGGCTTTGTCCATGCTAGGCAAGCACCCTACAAACGGAGCCAGCTCCACCCTAGCCGCTGGCTTTCTCTTCTCTTTGCCCAGAATGGCCTTGAGCTCGGATCCTCCAGCCTTCTCTCCCGAGTGCTGGGATGGCGGTGTGCACCACCGTACTTCTCTCTCAGGGATGCTGCTCTTGGAACAGCGCTGTGCACTGTGGGAGGTTTGCAGCTGCCCGCACTTGGGTCAGATTCATGGCTGGAACGATCACAAGGGCTGCTGGAGGGCAGAACATAGGGCAGCCAGGGGCAGTTGGGGATGGTGCTGGTGTCCAGTGAGACGAGACACTGGTTTGATGGCAGCCTGAAACAGCAAGAGTGACTACATAGGGAGATCCAGGCATGGGGTAGGTACATGTTCTACCGTTGAGCTAGAGCCCTAGACTAAGATGTAGGTTGAGTGGCTGGAATTTGGAGCCAGGTGTGGTGGCACACTCCTGTAGTCCTAGCACGCGGGAGGAAGAGGCAGAAGGTCATCCTCAGCTACATAGTGAGTTCAAGGCCAGCCTGATCTACGAGACCTTGTCTGAAAAAAAAAAAAAAGAAAAACCTTACCCACTCAAAACTAAAGTGTGCTTCTGGGTGATGGTGGTGCACGCCTTTAATCCCAGTAATCAGGAGGCAGAGGCAGGTGGATCTCTTGAGTTTGAGGCCAACCTGGTCTACAGAGTGAGTGCCAGGACAGCCAGGGCTACACAGAGAAATCTTGACTTGAAAAAAACAGCTGGACGTTGGTGGCACACACCTTTAATCCCAGCACTCGGGAGGCAGAGGCAGATGGATCTCTGTGAGTTCAAGGCCAGCCTGGTCTCCAGAGCGAGTGCCAGGATAGGCTCCAAAGCTACACAGAGAAACCCTGTCTCGGAAAACCAAAAAGAAAAGAAAGAAAACAAACAAACCCTAAAGTGTGTGCGGACTTGATAGATTGGGTAAGGGTGTGTGCGTGTGAGGACACTGTAGAACAGGGCTCCAGCCAGCCCTCTGCCTCTTTCCCCTCAGGGTTACTTGTGCTGCACTGGGAAGCCAATGGCTCCTCGTCCTGGGGATTCAATGCTTCTGTGGGCTCTGCCCGATGTGGATCAGGGGGTCCTGGCAGCTGCCCCGTCCCTCAGGAATGTGTACCCCAGGATGGGGCTGCAGGTGCCGGGCTCTGCCGCTGTCCTCAGGGCTGGGCTGGCCCTCACTGCCGCATGGCTCTGTGTCCTGAGAACTGCAATGCCCACACTGGGGCTGGGATTTGTAACCAGGTACGAGGGGGACAGATGGTTCAGGTGGGACGGGAGCTGCCGGGTGGGATAGTTGCAGTATTCAGGGTTCCTCTGAGCTGCTTTCTGCTGTCCCAGAGCCTAGGTGTGTGCATCTGTGCTGAGGGCTTTGGGGGCCCAGACTGTGCCACGAAGCTCGACGGTGGACAGTTGGTCTGGGAGACGCTCATGGACAGCCGCCTCGCAGCTGTGAGTTAGAGCAACAGCTTTGTCCTGTGGTGGGACAAGCAGTAAACCCTCCACCTAGACCTGGCACTTTGTCACGACCCTGGCCTGACCTCCGGCCTCCTTATTCCCACTCCAGGACACTGCTAGCCCATTCCTCCACCGCCTGGGACACACTATGGTAGAGGGACCTGATGCCACCTTGTGGATGTTTGGAGGCCTGGGCCTGCCCCAGGGCCTGCTGGGAAACCTGTACAGGTAAGGACAGCTAGCTCTATGGGTATGGGATACTTGTATAAGAAAGCTTATTTTGGGGACTACTGAGATATCTATTACCTGTCTCACCCTAGGGATTGCAGAAAAACCCCTCAGGTACGGGACGCTTGTTATAGGAAGCTCACCTGTCTGTAGGCACCAGGGGGACTGTTTGGGAATGTTAAGATGATTCCTGTCGGGAGGTCAGCCCAAGCGATGCTGGGACATCTTTTTTTGTTGTTTTGTTTTTCGAGACAGGGTTTCTCTGTGTAGCTTTGGAGCCTATCCTGGCACTCACTCTGTAGACCAGGCTGGCCTCGAACTCACAGAGATCCTCCTGCCTCTGCCTCCCAAGTGCTGGGATTAAAGGCGTGTGCCACCAACACCCGGCGATGCTGGGACATCTTTAAGGATGTGGGGAGGATGACTGCCTACTTAGTAAGACTGGTATTTTGCACCTTGGCTCCAGGTATTCAATCAGTGAGCGCAGGTGGACACAGATGCTGGCAGGAGCTGAGGACGGCGGCCCAGGCCCATCACCCCGCTCCTTCCATGCAGCTGCCTATGTGTCTGCTGGGCGTGGTGCCATGTACCTGCTGGGGGGCCTCACAGCTTCGGGGGTCACTCGTGACTTCTGGGTCCTTAACCTCACTACCCTGCAGTGGAGACAGGAGAAGGTAAGTATCTGTCTCCCCCCTAGCCCTGTCCTCACAACAGGTCCAACAGACGGCCATGGCAATTCCCTTGAGTTTCATCACCAGAGGCATCTATCTTCAGGGTTTCAACAGAGTGTGGGAATAAGGGCCTGGGTGTGTATCTTGGTGATAGAAACCCTGCCTAGAATCCCCCAGTGAGGGGCTGGGGGTGTGGCTCAGTGGTACAGCCCCTGCCTAGAATCCCCAGGGACTGGGGTATGGCTCAATGGTAGTTCCCTTGCTTAGCTTGCACTAGTTCCTGGGGTCAGTCCCTGGCACCACAGTAGGCTAGGGAGTTGTCAAATTGAATTTACTGGCCAACCTAAGTTATATATTTGTAGTTACAAGCTGATCCCTGGACAAGGGCCTGTCACACTTGAATTGGCCTAAATGGGATGTGTGCAGTTCCACCCACGACGGAGAGAACAGAGGCGTCAGGCTTCTGGTTGTGCCTGGAGAAGTGGGTGTGTAGTGGACAGAACCCACCTGGGCCCTGGTAGGCCAAGGTCAACGTAGCCCTGTGGGACTCTACTCCTGAGCTGGGCCTGATCTTACTTGTCTCTGTGAAAGGAGTTTTCCTCTACCCCTTTGGGTGACCCTCGCTGTCTTGTCTTACAGGCCCCTCAGAACGTGGAGTTGCCAGCTGTTGCTGGTCACACCCTAACTGCCCGTCGAGGCCTGTCTCTGCTCTTGGTGGGTGGCTACTCTCCTGAAAATGGCTTCAACCAGCAGTTGTTGGAGTACCAGCTGGCAACTGGCACCTGGGTATCCGGAGCCCAGAGCGGGACACCCCCAGCAGGTGGGGCTGCCACGGGAGCTGTCTGGACTGTCCTTAAGCTTCCCACAGTCCACTCCCACGTTCTGGTCACTGCCCACACTTGTCTTGTGACTCCAGCTATCTTTACAGGGACGCATCTCTGGCATGTTCTGTTTCCCTGTTTGCCTCCCTTAGTGTGGCTGCCATCTCCTTCCCCAGCTCCTAAGATCTGTGCCTCTCAAGTGCTCTTTTTTCTCTTCTGTCTTCCCTCCCCTCTATGTCTCTCCTCCTGCCCTGACCGTTACCTGCCAGACATCCTGCCTCCCTGCCTCCCTCCTCCTGCCCTGTCCCGTCTTCCCAACCATTGGCTATCCTTCCTGGGGTGGTCTCCAAGACCCTAAGGAGAGGGGAGAATTGAGGGCTCCCCAGTCTCTGGCCACAGGACCGTTCAGGAAGGGACGGAGTTGTTAAGAAGATCCCAGAAAGTCAGGGGACACTCTTGGCCGCCAGCCCTTCCTTCCCTGACATCTCTGTGGTCCTTCTGCCCCTCCAGGTCTCTATGGTCACTCTGCAGTCTACCACGAGGCCACTGACTCCCTCTATGTGTTTGGGGGTTTCCGCTTCCATGTGGAGCTGGCAGCCCCTTCTCCGGAGCTCTACTCTCTGCACTGTCCCGACCGCACCTGGAGCTTGCTTGCACCTTCTCAGGGGGCAAAGGTCAGGAGAGCTAGCTGTAGCCACAGAAGGGAGGTTCCCCAATCGCTGGCTTCCCCCACCTAGATTCCTGCCTCCTGTCCTTCCTTTTAGTCTCTGTGCTGAGCTATGATAATGCCAATTGCTTCTTTTTCCAACCCTGGTTTGGAGGAAAGACTCCTTGGCCAGGAAATCAGAGGCATGGTTTCTGCCCAGCACTGCCCTGACAGACCCCCTCCCATCTATTAGCGGGTCCCTGTAACTTTTCCTAATAAGGCTAGGGAGAGAGGCGTGGGAGAACAGAGGCCTGCCTGTGCAGGTAGGGACAGTTACATGTGATGGACACACCTGAAGCCCCTCTGGGGGAGGGGTGCAGGGAAGACCAGGTTTATAGGGAACAGAGTAGGTTCTGTGGGCTGTTCTGCAGGATCAGAGAATTTTCCTTCAGAAGGTGAAGATGGGACAAGCTGTGTGAGACAGGGAGGGAAATTATGGGTGGCGGGCGGGTGGGGAAGGAGCAAGTGGAACCAAGGGTAGGGCTCTGACGGGCCCTCCCTACATGTGTCTCCCCCACAGCCCCGTCCCCGGCTTTTCCATGCTTCAGCTCTGCTAGGAGACACCATGGTGGTCCTTGGGGGGCGCTCAGACCCTGATGAATTCAGCAGTGATGCTCTGCTCTACCAGGTCAACTGCAACACCTGGCTCCTGCCTGACCTCACACGTGAGTCCCTGGTGCTGTCCCCAGGAGGCTGGGACACCCATGTGGAGCCTGCCCGCGTCTGGGGGACCATGACCCTCTTTAGAAGTCACTCGGGCAAGTTAGGACTCATCAGCAAAGTCCCCGTCCCCTCCATATATCTAGAGACCATGGAGTTACTGTCTTTTCTTCTTTAAACAGACATTTTAAGTTGTGTTAACTTACTTGTGTAGGTGGGGCTTTATATGCATTTGTGGGCACACACAGTGGATAGAGGTCAACTTGAAGGAGTTGGTTCTGTCCTTCCATGTGTGTGTCCTGGGAATTGAACTCAGGTCATCAGGCTTTGTGGCAAGTGCTTTACCTACTGAGCCATCTCATGGGCCCTTTCTTTTTTCTTAGAATGGTTTATTTTTGTTTACTTATTGTTTTGTTATTGTGGCATATAGTCTCACTATGTCAGTTTGGGTGGCCTTGACTCGTTAAGTAGGCCAACCTAACCTCAAACTCACAGAGATCGACCTGCCTCTGAGTCTAGAGTGCTGGGATTAAAGGTGTGCACACCACAGAAATATTTTTTATCCTAAAATAGGAGGAAAAGCTAAAGCTCCGTAGCGACAACCACTGTTGTAAGCAGAAAGTACCCTTCCAGGTTTTGTGTTCACACGTTAGAAATGGGCTTAAAGCATTAGAAATTCTCTGGGCGGTGGTGGCGCACACCTTTGGTCCCAGCACTTGGGAGGTAGAGGCAGGGGGATCTCTGTGAGTTCAAGGCCAGCCTGGTCTATGGAATGAGTTACAGGACAGCCAGAGCTCTTACACAGAGAAACTCTGTCTCAATAAACAACAACAAAAAAAAAAAAAAAAAAAAAAAAAAAAAAAAAAAAAAAAGGAATTGGGAGATTCTCCGGACTGGAGTATGTGTAAATGGAGGTTTGTCTCTTGCCCGCCCGCCAGCAATGGAAGAGTCATGGAGACACTGTGTAGCCACTGGGGAAGCAAGATGTGAGGTAACAAGCCAGAGCATCATGGTAAAATATAAACTTAATGGGTTAATTTAATTGTAAGAGCTAGACAGTAGTAGGTCTGAGCCATTGGCCAAACAATTATCATTAATATTAGGCCTCTGAGTGTCTGTTTGGGAACTGGTGGGTGGGAGACAAACCGTTTACACTGGAGAGATGGCTCATCAGTTATGAATGCTTTCTATGTATCCGTGAAGATTAGAGTTCAGATCTCAGCACCCACATAACAAGCTAGGTGTCGCACACATGCTTGTCACCCCAACTCTGAGGCCAGTGGAGATAGGCAGGTCAATGGAGCTTGTTGGCTTTCAGGCTAGCTAAGAACATTCAGGTTCCAAGTTCAGGGAGAGACCCTGCCTCAAAGGAATAGGTGAAGAGTGATAGAGGACACCTATAAAGACAGACAGACACACACACATATACTAATCTTTTTACACACATTAAATAATCTTTTTTAATATTGTAAGTTTAGCCAGGCGTTGGTGGCGCACGCCTTTAATCCCAGCACCTGAGAGGCAGAGGCAGGTGGATCTCTGTGAGTTTGAGGCCAGCCTGGTCTCCAGAGTGAGTTCCAGAACAGCCTCTAACTCTACAGAGAAACCCTGTCTGGAAAACCAAAAAAAAAAAAAGAAAAGAAATGCAGAATGTGGGGCTGGAGAGATGGCTCAGAGGTTAGGAGCACAGGCTGCTCCTCCAGATGTCCTGAGTTCAATTCCCAGAAACCACATGGTGGCTCACAACCATTTATGATGAGATCTCAAACCGTCTTCTGGCCTGCATGCCAGAATGCTGTATGCATATACATATGCAATAAATAAATCTTTTTTTTTAAAAAAAACGCAGAATGTACTATAGAATAAATTTTACTTTCATGAAGCTCCAAAGAAACTTCCAAAACAAACAAACAAGCAAACAGACAACCCCAGTGCTGCTTATTTACTCACCATATATCCTTAATACCCGGAACACAGTAATTACGTGTTAGCGGAAGAAGACAAGGGGGAAGGAATTTGTATTTTGTAATACGCAAAATGTTGACAGAGAGATGGGCATGTGGCTTTTTTGTTTCTTTGGTTGTTTTTTGTTTTTTCGAGGCAGGGTTTCTCTATGGCTTTGGAGGCTATCCTGGAACTCACTCTGTAGACCAGGCTGGCCTCGAACTCACAGAGATCTGCCTGCCTCTGCCTCCAGAGTGCTGGGATTAAAGGCGTGCGCCACCACACCTGGCAGGCATGTGGCTTTTTAAAATGCTTCAGTGACAACTAGGTCTCGCACATACAAGACAGTTGTGTCACCACTGGTGGATTTTAGGCAAATTCTCTAGGACTGAGCCATGTCTCCCTTCCCGCATTTGTGAATTCTAGGCAACCAGTCTATCCCTGAGCCAGGCCTCCAGCTCCTAGCCCTGGAATCTCCACAACCTCTACTGCTCCTTGTAAACTTGGCCTTGTTCTCTTCTTCTGCCTCCCTCTCCCCTGAGAAGTATAGGAATGTGCTGTTTATCACATGCAACTGTGTTCCTACCCACACAGGCAGGGCCCTACTCTCCCATGTCTTGTCTCCTTGGACTTTTAGGCAGGGTTCTGGGTAAATGTCCCAGCCCCTCACTGGGGGATTCTAGGCAGGGGCTCTACAACTGAGCCACACCCCAACCTCACTGATGAATGTCCCGTGTGAGCTCTATTGCTAAGCTGTGACCTCAGACCCTATTTGTCCTTTTCATTTCACTGCGCACGGTGAGTGGCTGCTTGTGTGTGTGGACCTATGCTCTTTGTGTTTCCCCCTTCCCTTTTCCCTTTCTCTCTCACTCTTTTACTCGAGTCAACCTTTCTAATACTCATTCTGTCTTGAACTTTAAAGACCCAGATATTAATTTATGTAATATGAAACTTAAATCGTTTAATAATGGTCAGTAGAGCTTTGTGTGTAGACAAGTGGCAGGGTACTTGCTTGGTGTGCACAATCCCCTGTTCTTAGCAACACACAAACACACACACACATACACACACACACACACACACACACACACACAACCACAACCACATACAAATAAATTATTATTCTGGTGGCATTTAGAGCTTTTACTGTCACATAGCTGTTAATGCTGTGACTACCATCTTCATCTGGTTCCGATATCTTTGTCTTCGCTCTTTTTCTTTTGCTTGTTTGTTGTTTTTTTTATTATTATTTCATGTGCATTGGTGTTTTGTCTGGAGTATATCTGTGTGAGGGTGTCAGATCTTGAAGTTACAGAGAGGTATGAGTTGCCATGTGGGTGCTGGGAATTGAACCCAGGTCCTCTGGAAGAGCAGCCGGTGCTCTTAACCTCTGAGCCATCTCTCCAGCCCCACTTGTTGGTTTTTTTAAAGTGTTACAGGTGGAGCCTTTGCCTTGCGCTTGCTAGGACGGTACCGCGTCGCTCTTGTACATCTCCAGCTCACCGCTATCCTTTTTTTTTTTAAAGCTTTTTAGATATTTTATTTATTTTACGTGTGTGTGGTGTGTGTGTGTGTGTGTGTGTGTGTGTGTGTGTGTGTGTGTGCCCGCAGAGGTCAGAAGGAGGCATCATATCCCCTGCTATCAGACGTAGAGATGGTTGTGAGCCACCATGTGGGTGCTGGAAACCGGACCTGGGTCCTCTCCAGGAGCAATGGGTGTTCTTAACCACTGAGTCATCTTTCCAGCCCCCACTTCTGTTCTTGTTCTTCTCTGCAAGTGCTATTTTCTGTCTGTCTACCCTTCTGTGCCTCTCTTTGCTGCCTGGTTCTCCAGTCCTTCTGTCCGTCTTCTCTCTACCTTTCTCTGTCTGCCCCCTATCACTCTGTCTTCTCTGGCTGTCTCCCCTGACCCCTCTTTGGGGGGGGGGGGTCTCTTCTTTGTGTTTCCTGCTCTCCACCTGAATATCCCATCTTTCTTCAGGTCCAGCTTCTGTGGGATCCCCAATGGAAGAATCTGTGGCCCATGCAGTAGCCACAGTGGGTAGCCACCTGTACATCTCTGGAGGATTTGGGGGCGTGGCCCTGGGCCGCCTACTGGCATTGACCCTGCCCCCTGACCCCTGCCGTCTACTGCCTTCACCCGAAGCTTGTAACCAGTCTGGGGCTTGCAGCTGGTGCCATGGTGCTTGCCTCTCTGGGGACCAGGCACACAGGTAACCACAGTTGACTGATAGTCCATCGCTCAGTACTTGCTGGTGTCCTCTGAGGGTTGGACCTGAGGCAGGCCTTGAAGTTCGACTGTCTGGTTGTGGCTCACACATGGGACAGCGAATGACCGTGAGAGGCGGAGGCGGTTGAGACTGCTCGTGTATGAGCTGTGCTTGCACCCCAAGGTATCCCCTTCTGGAGGAGCTGGCTTGGAACTTGATATAATTTAGACCAGCAAAGACTGAAAGCAGTGCTGTCTGCGTCCAGGGTGTTTGCAGTACCATCTGTACTGGCAGACATCGATCAGCTCAGAAAAGGCTTCCGGTACCTGCTGAGACCCAGCTCTGACCAACTCTCCTCAGCAGCAGTTTCAGGAAGCCAGGCGTTCCCTCGGTTAACTCATTCGTCTGCTCTGTTGCTATGATGGAAGCCTATTTATGGATTTTGTTTGTCCCATTATGGGCCGTGGAGCATTTCACCATGCATCCTGCAGTATTGTCAATGGATTTGATTTTGGACGGGCTTGCCAGCCCACCCACCATCGGGCCTGTGCATCATAGCAGGAGTACCAGTTGTTTTTCTAAAATCTGGATAATGCTAAAAATCCATGCACTTCCAAGGAATTATAGATCTGTGCTGTGGGGGAGTGGGGGTGGGGGATAGGAAGCTTGAGTTGGAGGCCCGAGCAGAGAGATTCCTGGGGTGCTTGTGCGGGACTGAGGGGCACAGGAGTGTATGAGAGAAGGACACTGTTTTGGGTAGGATCAGGGGGCAGGGGACAGTTGGTAATGTCTCAGGTTCCAGTGACAAGTCGACATGGGCCCATGTACCACCAAGGGATGGGGCTGACCGGGACCTGAAGTGTAACTTGGGACGTGGTGTAGGGCAGGTCTCTGCAGGACCATGTTCAGGAGACAAAGTATGAGTCCTAGATGCATGTGACTGAGCCAGCCTCCTGCCCTCTAGGTTAGGCTGTGGGGTACCTCCTTGCTCCCCAATGCCTCGCTCGCCTGAGGAATGTCGGCGGCTGCGGACCTGCAGTGAGTGCCTGGCCCGCCATCCTCGGACCCTGCAGCCAGGCGATGGAGAGGTTCGTGGTGGGTAGCAGGACGGGTACTGGCCTCCGCTGTGGTTGGCTGGGTAGGAAGACCTGCGTCCGAAGGGTGCTGAGCCCATCTCCCCTCCAGGCATCCACTCCTCGCTGTAAGTGGTGCACCAACTGCCCGGAGGGCGCCTGCATTGGGCGCAACGCGTCCTGCACCTCGGAGAATGACTGTCGAATCAACCAGAGAGAGGTCTTCTGGGCTGGGAACTGCTCGGAGGCCGCGTGTGGGGCCGCGGACTGTGAGCAGTGCACACGGGAGGGCAAGTGCATGTGGACACGGCAGTTCAAGAGGACAGGTGAGTCCCCAGGGGCCTCCAGGCCTGGACCCCTAAATCTCAGGGGAGAGCTGCAGCAGAGGGAGGAAGGCTGGGACTAGACGCCCGAGTCTGAGAGGGCACCCTCGGGCCTGGGGAAGAAGAAGGGTGGCGTCGAGACTCCTCTGGAGGAGGAGAGTCTGGGAACCAGACTGGTCACTAGCCTGTGCCCGCAACACCAGGAGAGACTCGCCGCATCCTGTCAGTGCAGCCCACTTACGACTGGACTTGCTTCAGCCACTCTCTGCTGAACGTGTCGCCCATGCCAGTGGAGTCATCGCCCCCGCTGCCCTGCCCCAGTCCCTGTCACCTCCTCCCCAACTGCACCTCCTGCCTGGCCTCCAAGGGCGCAGACGGGGGCTGGCAGCACTGTGTGTGGAGCAACAGCCTCCAGCAGGTAATGCCCGCATCTTGCTTGCTGCCCAGCCCTGGTGACCCCCAACTCTTGCGACTCCTGCCCTGCTGTCCTTTCTCCTTCCTGTTGCCGTCTCTTCATTCCCTCATGCTTCTTTCATGCCTTCTGCTGCTGTGCTCACAGCTCTGTCCTTTCTTGCTGGGCTTCAGCCCCTGTGTCCCTCTAGCTCTTATTCAGGGCTCAGTGAGACACTGCCAGAGAGGGCTGGGAGGAAGGACCTTGCTCGTGTGTGGCTGGTGGAGGTGGATGTATGTCAAAGGCAGGGGTGGCTAGGCCGTAGCTGCCCGTCACATTGTCTGCCTCTGGAGTGTCCAGACTGTATCCACTTAGCTGGACTGCAGCTTAGCTGTCCAGTGGCAGACAAAGATGTTTGCCTTGGCCTAACCCCAGTGGAAGGTGAGACCAGTCTACCCTGGATTGTCACAGCTAGCAAGCAGTGTCTGATCCTCATCAGTACCTACTCCTCGTGCGTCCACCCATGGCACAGGACCCAGTGGCAGCGGGCCAGCTCACCAAACCACTGAGAGCTGGGATTGGTTCAGCCATCCCCTCACCCTTCACCCAGTAGGCTACAGTGGGTGGGGTGGGGGAGGAACAGGACACATGCCATTAGAACTTGCATTGTTTTTTTAAATTTATTTATTTATACAGTGTTCTGTCTGCATGTAACCCTGCAGACCACAAGAGGGCAACAGGCCTGATTACAGATGGTTGTGAGCCACCTTGTAGGTGCTGGGAATTGAACTCAGGACCTCTGGAAGAGCAGCCAGTACTCTTAACCACTGAGCCATCTCTCCAGCCCTAGAACTTGCATTTTAAGAGGTGATAATAGAAAAGAGCCCAGCAGTACTTCCTGCATGTCCCAGCCTGTGAGTGCCCAGCATAGAGGACTGCCAGCTTCTAGAGCTGGGAGCTTCACCTAGGGTGGCAAATTGGCTTATTTACCTTGAAATCAAGTTCCAGGCAGAAGGCCTGGGAAGGTGGCTCACTCAGACCTGAATTTCATCCTCACAACCATGATAAAAAAAAGTCCAGATATGTGGGACTTGCTTGTGATCTCAGTGCTCAGGAGTCAGAGACAGAGACAGGCAGGCCCCTGGGACTCTATGGCTAGTCTAGTCTACTCAGTGGATTCCAGGCCAGCAAGAGACAGACTTAAAAACAAGATAGTCAGCACCATGTTCACTGGCCTCCTCATGTTTGCACATACACAAAAGCTCAGCTGGGCCTGGGTTTGGATCTAGCATGGGTACTGACATCCACACTTGAGTCCTCTGCAAGAGCAGTAAGTGCTCTTAACCTCTAAAGGACTCTTACACTCCAGTTATTCTGAAGCAGGAGAATGATGAAGCTACATTGCGGTCATGCATGCCTTGTAATCTAGTACTCAGGTGGCTGCGGCAGGAGGGTGGCAAGTTCCAGGTCAGCCTGGATATGTAGAGACCCTATCTGAGTTGTAGTGGGGAGAACAGAATTTATGAGAATGTATCCCATGGCCAGGGCTCAAAAGTGTTGGGCTCTTTGGCCGAGTTTTGCTTCCTGGACTCTAATCACAGCCGGCCCAACTCTCAGCAGGCTTGGAGCTCTGACCACAGCCATCAGGGTTTCTATTTCAGAACTGCACAAATTGCTTCGTTTCTTCCTAAGTGCCCTTGGGCAGCCAGCCCAGATTAATCTCACCCATCTTATATTTCATATAAGGCCAAACACTGAATAAAATGCTCTTCTACCCTGTGGTATATTCCCAAGGGCCCACGCCTCATTCTGTAAGCAGTCTGGGTCCCAGCCAGCAAGTGATGGCTTGTACATTGCAAACTGGCTTCTCACCCAGAACTTCTCCTCCACCTCCTGGCTGAGTTGGAAGTAGACTATTTGCCCTAAAGCCTGGCCCAAGTTTGTCGTAAGAAGTTGTGGCTTGGGGGCTGGAGAGGTGGCTCAGCAGTTAAGAGTACTGACTGCACTGGGTGGGGGTGGCGCATGCCTTTAATCCTAGTACCTGGAAGGCAGAGGCAGAAGGATCTCTGTGAGTTCGAGAGCAACCTGATCTATAGGGTGAGTGCCAGGACAGCCAGGGCTACACAGAGAAACCCTGTCTTGAAAAGCAAAACAAAACAAAAAACAAAAAGGCACTGGCTGCTCTTCCAGAGGACCCGGGTTTAGTTCCTAACGTCCACACGGCAGCTCTCAACTTTCTGTAACTCCAGGATCCAGCACCCTTACGCAGACATACATACAGGGAAAACATTGATGCACATAAAATAAAAACAAATTATTAAAAAAGAAGAAGAAGAAGCTGCTTGTGATAGTCATTTCTGTCTCTGTCCACTGCCTTCTTTCAGGTATAGGAGACAGATGTCCCTGCTGGGTAGGGAACGGAGACTCTGTATTAATATAATGGGACCTTTGGGACACAGGAGTCTCTTTCTTTTAATCTTTAAAAATTATTTATTTATTTATTTGGCTTTTCAAGGCAGTTTCTCTGTGTAGTCCTGGCTGTCTTGGACCTCACTTTATAGACGAGGCTGGCCTAGAACTCACAGAGATCCTCCTGTCTCTGCCTCCTGAGTGCTTCGATTAAAGGCACTACCACCCAGCTCATTTTTTTTATTATATGAGTTTTTTATATTATTATTATTATTATTATTATTATTATGTGAGATTTTTTTAATGCATCCGGCTGGCCTTGAACTACTCTTCTTCATTAAATTTACATATTTATTCATTTGGGAGGGGATGCGTGTATGTAGAGGTCATTGGACAACTTGTAGGAATCAGTTCAGTTTTTCCACCAATGGGTCTCAGGGATCAAACTCATGCCATCAAGCTTGGCAACAGGTGCATTGCCCTCTGAGCCTTCTTGCCTGTCCTGGCCTTAAACTCTTGATTTTCCTGCTTCAGTCTCCCGAGTGCTAGGATTGCCCAGCTCCTTGGGGGACAGGGCCCTCACAGTGGCTGCCGATCCTTGGGATCACCTTCCTTGGGATGTGGCTGATGGCTGGTGGCTGTCTCTGTGCGTCTGCCTGTTCTCTTCCTTGTTGACCCTTTCATCCTCATTTACCCATCACCTCCAGTGTCCCCCCCAGCCCAGGGCCCCATGATCTTTCCAATTCCAGAACCAGGAACCCATTGCCATTGCTTTTAAACACAAGGGCTCCTGTTAATCAGGCTGGCCTTGAAATCACTAGATAGCTGAGGATGACCTTGAACTCTATCCCTTAGCCTCCACCTCCTGTCTGCTGGGATTGCAGGCATGCCAGGCTCATCCAGTTCCTGTGTGGATGTCTGGTTACAAAGGCTTTGAGGGATCTTGTTGTAGCCTAGCTTGTATCCTGAGCTAGCTACAGCCAGGGAGGGTGGGGCCCGGGAGAGATTGGTGCAGTCTGGGAAGTGTATTTGACTTTCTTTCCTGATCTTTCTGTCCCTCACTTCCCCGACAGTGTCTGAGCCCCTCCTACCTGCCCTTGCGATGTATGGCTGGAGGCTGTGGGCGGCTGCTTAGGGGGCCAGAGAGCTGCTCCCTGGGCTGTGCTCAGGCTACACAGTGTGCCCTGTGCCTGCGACGACCCCACTGTGGCTGGTGTGCCTGGGGGGGCCAGGATGGAGGTGGCCACTGCATGGAAGGTGGCCTCAGTGGTCCCCGAGATGGTGAGAGGGGTTTGGGAGCTGGGCAAACTGGTTGGCGAAGGGTACTGAGAACAAGCAGGGGAGTGGTTCTGAGGTGGGGTGGATGGGTAGGTGGTGTAGCAATGCCCTGGGTGAAGCCCTGTGTCCTCTGGGGTCAGGGCTAACATGTGGCCGTCCCGGGGCATCGTGGGCCTTCCTGTCCTGCCCCCCGGAGGATGAGTGTGCAAACGGACACCATGACTGCAATGAGACTCAGCAGTGCCACGACCAGCCCCACGGCTATGAGTGCAGCTGCAAGGCGGGCTACACCATGGACAAGTGAGGAGGAGGAGGTTCGGGGCAGACAGACGGGGGAAAAGTTGCAGGGTAGCAAGGATGGGATGAGACAAGACATGTGGAAGGAAATGGAGCCTGGGTTCACAGGTGGCGGACCTGATCTCTGAGACAGGAGGGCAGTCGCCTGGCCCAGTGAGTCTCCAGGAGAGGGTAGTGGGGACAAGGATGCTGAAGACTCGGGGTGGATAACCTATTGAAAGAGGGCGTGGCACACTGGGCAAGGGACAATGGGCGAGGCCTGGGTTCCCTGCCCTGATGCTTACCTGTCCCCACAGTGTGACGGGCTTATGC